GATAAAACCATCACCTAATATGACAAAGTAATCTAAAATAAAACAACTATAGAAGATACAAAAGAAAAGCAAAAAAAATAAATAGATAGATATGGTTAAACACAGGGGAATGTGAGAAAAGAGAAATAACAGAATTCAGAATAAAAATTGAAATTAAAAATATTTCAGAAATTAAAAATAGATACAATATCCCATATATCACAGAAAGTATTATAAGAAAAATAGAGGATAGGGAGAATAATTATTTTAAAAAATAAAATAGGAAAAAATAAATTAAAAATTAGAAAATAAGTATAAAAATAAGTAATAATGATTTAATATTTTTGTACTGATGTTATGAACAAATATTTAATATTATTAATCATTGGAGAAGTGTATATTCAAGTTCTTTGACCATATTTTAATTGAGTTGTTTGTTTTTTTGGTGTTGAGTTTTGTAAGTTCTTAATAAATTTTAGATATTAACCTCTTATCAGATGTATGGGCAAATATGTTTTCCCATTCTGTGGATTGTCTTTTTATTGTATTGATGTTTTCCTTTGCTGTGTAAAATCTTTATAGTTTTATGTGGTCCCATTTGTTTAGTTTTTCTTTTGTTTATCTTGCCTGGGGAGGGAATACATCTGATAAAATATTGACATGAGCAATGTCTAACATTTTGCTGTCTATGTTCTCTCCTAAAATTTTTATGGTTTTGGGTCTAACATTTAAGTCCTTAATCCATTTTGAATTTATTCTTGTGTATGGTATAAGAAGGTGGTCTAGTTTCATTTTTCTGTATGTATCTGTCCAATTTTCCCAACACCATTTCTTGAATAAATTATCTTTAGCCCATTTTATGCGCTTGCTTCCTCTATCAAATAGTAACTGACTATAAAGGTATGGGTTTATTTCTGGGCTCTCTATTCTGTTCCATTTATCTATGTGTCTGTTTTTATGCCAGAACCGTGCTGTTTTGGTTACTATGGCCTTATAGCATAGTTTAATATTAGGTGGTGTGATTTCCATATCAATAGATGCAAAAAAAAAAAAAAGCATTTAGCAAAATCCAGTACCCATTTATGATAAAAACTCTCAGCAAATTGGGACTAGAAGGAACATAACTAAACACAATAAAGGCCATATATGACAAACCCACTCCCAGCATCATACTCAATGGGCAGAAACTACAAGTGTTTCCCCTTAAGATCAGGAACACATCAGGGATGTCCACTTTCACTTCTCTTATTCAACATAGTACTGGAAGTCCTAGCCATAGAAAACAAAGAAGAAGAAATAAAGGACATCCAAATTGGGAAGGAAGAAGTAAAACTGTCTTTATTTGCAGATGACATGATACAGTACACAGAGAACCACAAAAATTCTAGCAAGAAATTACTAGAACTGATAACGACTTCAGTAAAGTGGCAGGATACAAAATTAATATCCAGAAATCAGTTGTACTTTACATGCCAATGAATTATCAGAAAGGGAAATTAAGAAAAGAAATTCCATTTATAATTATTTCAAAAAGGATAAGATACCTGGGAATAAATCTAACCAAGGATGTAAAAGAATTGTACTTAGAAAATTATAAGACACTGAAGAAAGAAATTGAAGAAGATACAAATAAGTTTAAGCACCCACCGTGTTCATGGATAGGAAGAATTAACACTATTAAAAGGTCCATGCTACCCAAAGCAATCTATAGATTCAACACAATTCCTGTCCAGATACCAGTGATGCATTTCACAGAACTAGAAAAAATATTTCAAAAATTTATATGGAACCACAAAAGGCCCCATATAGCAACAGAGGTTCTGAGAAAGAAGAACAAAGTTGGAGGAATCAAGAAGACATAAAAATGGTTGATAGACATATGAAAAGATGCTTAACATCACTAATAATCAAACAAATGAAAATTAAAACCACAATGAGATATCATCTGATACCTGTCAGAATGGCTATCATCAATCAAACAGCAAGTGCTGGAGAGGTTGTGGAGAAAGGGTAACTACTTTGCACTGTTGTGAGAAGATTGGTGAGACTACTGTCAAAAGTAGTATGGAGATACCTCAAAAAATTAAAACTGGAACTGCCTTTTGACCCAGCAATTCCACTTCTGAGAATATATCCGAAGGAACCCAACACACTCATTGGAAAGAGCATAAGCACCCCTATGTTCATTGCAGCATTATTCACAATCACCAAGATATGGAAGCCACCCAAGTGTCCATCAGTATATCAGTGGATAAAACGATTTACACAATGGAATACCACTTGGCCATAAAAAAGAAGAAAATTTTACCCTTTGTGTCAGTATGGATGGACCTAGACAACATTATGCTAAGTGAAATAAGTCAGTCAGAGAAAGAAAAACACCATATGATTTCACTCATATGTGGAATCTAATGAACAAACTGAGCTAACCAGCAAAATAGAGACAGACTCATAGATGCAGAGCAGGATAGCAGCTAAGCTGGGAGGGGAGGTTAGAGGGTGGAGGGACTGAGCAAAAAAGGAAAAGGACTCATGGACATGGACAACATTGTGGTGATTGCAGGGGTTAAGAGAGTATGAAGGGACTAAAGGGTAATGGAAAAGAATACAATAAAAAATAAATTCTAAAAAAATAAAAATAAAATTATTAATCAAGAAAACATTCCTGAAATAACAGAAGACTTGAAGTGACACTGACATATATGTGAACTGAAATGTATATAAATATAAAATATATAACATAAATGTTATACATATTACACAAAATTATTTGTATATAAATAAGCAAAATATGTATTTTACATGTAAAGAAAAATATAATGTATAAATACATGAAATGCATATTATACATTAGTAAATTTATACATAATGCTTAAATAAAATATACTACATACATTATATATTGCTTAATTTATATCTAGACATATTTTATGTGCACTGATGCACACCAACAGCAGAATGTTAGAGTGAGAAAACACACACACACTACTAGTGTTGACCAGAGTGTGGAACGAGTAGAGCTCCCCACGCTGCCCATGCGATACTGGCATATACATCACAGAAAACTCTTTGACACTACAGATGTGTAATGGGAGTCCCAGAAAGGGAAAAAAGAGAGGTATTCAGAAAACAATATTTGAAAAAATGTCCAAAACACTCCAAATTTGATGAAAAACATTAATTGGCACATCCAAATCCTTGGCAAATCCCTAGTAGAAAAAAAATACAGGAAGATACACATCAGGCTACATCATGTTCAATCTGTTGAAAGCCAAACATGAACAGAAAAACAACTCATTACATACATGGAAGCATCAGTATAACTAATGGCAGACTGCTCATCTGAAATAATGAGGCCAGAAGGCAGTAAAAAAGTTATTTTTTTTAATGTTGAAAGAAAAAAATCCTGGCAACCAAGAATTCTATATCCAGCAAATCTATCCTTCAAAAAGGAAGGTGAAACAAGACCTGCCCTACAGGAAATACTAAAGGAATTCCTTTAGGCTGAAAGGAAATAACAAAGATGTTAACTTAGGAACCACTGGTTAAATATATGAATTAATATAAAACATTGTATTAATTTGTTAAATTATGAATATATTTTCTTATTTTTCCTTTTGATTTTTTAATTAATGGAAAAAGTAGTAATTACAATAATGTATAGGTGGGTTTATACAAATATAGAGGTACTGTATGACAAGAACAGCACAAAGGACAGAGAATTCCACTATATAGGAGCAAAGCTTCTATATTTTATTGAAATTGTGCATATTAATATAAATTTTGAAAACTTAAAATGCATGTTGAGATACCACAGAAACTACAAAGAAAATAAACTTTTAAATAACAAAATGAATGTAAATCCAATCATACAAATAATTGACCTTAATGTGAGCAATCTAAACACCTCAATAGAAAGACCAAGATGGATTGGAACAGCACGTACAATAATATCCAACTACATGCTGTTTATAAGAGACACATCTTAGATTCAAATATACAAACAGATTCAAAATAAATGAATGGAAAAAGATATATATCATACCAATAGTAAACATAAGAAAGGGCCATATCAATATCAGGTAATATAAGCTTAAAGACAATCAAATTACTAGAAAGTAAACATTTTGTAAAGATAAATTTGTCAATACATTTAAAGATATAAAAGCTTTTAATGTACGCACAACTCTTAGCAGATCCTCAAAGTACACAAAGGAAAAACTAACAGAATTGAAAATAGAAATAGACAATTTAATAATCATAGTCAGCAATGTCAATATTCCAGTCACAATAGCAGATAGAACAACTCGACGGAAAAACAACAAGCATGAAGGGTATTCCAACAAAACCACCAACCAGCACACCCTAACCAACACAGAGAATGCTCCACCCAGCAACTGCGAGACCCACACTCTTTTCAGGTGCATAGGAAATGTTCTCCATGACAGACCGTATTTGGGGCCAAGAAATTGAAAAGAATTAAAGTCATAAAAGTGTGTTTGCTACTGCAACAGAAAACATCTAGGAAATTATCAAATATATGAAAATTAAACAACAAACTTCTAAATAACTCATGGATCAAAGAAAAATCACAAAGAACATTTAAAAATATTTTGAGCTGAATGAAAAACACACGATACCATAATTTATGGAATTGGTGCTCTACCCTCGGCGCACACTGGGGCAGCAGTATTATCCCCAAAGCCCTACAATAGCAGTGGCCCTGTCCCCTCCCCACCCCCATGGCTCTGGATAGCAGCCTTGCCCGAGACAGAGAATGGAGGCACCCTGGCTCTGTGAAATTGAGAAGGTCGTCAACTCTCCGAAATTGAAGAGGAAAAACGTTTGTTTCCTAGGCTTGTGATGAGAGTTAATCCTGAATAGCCTTCGCATCATTCTTCCCTTTTATTGAAGGAAAATGAATGTTCAAGTTCTACCTTCCACAAAACGCTGGAACACTGTTTAGTCAAGTTCTTTGCCACTTTATCAAAACAATCACCTTTTCTCCAGTTTCCAATAACCTGTTCCTCATTCCCATCTGAGATCTCAACAGAAACACTTGTAATGCACATATTTCAAACAACATTCTCTTCATGATAGATAATATATTTTTTTTTCTAAAATGATAGAAGCTTCTTCCACAGCTCTTCTCTCTTTTGTATGAGTTCTCACCAGAACTGCCTCTTGCATTCATGTTTGTACCAACAGTCATTTCTGGGCTAGCTAGGCTCTTTCTAGCATGTGCTCATAATTATCCCAGCCTCTACTTACCACCCAGTTTCAAAGCCACTTCTCCATTTGTAGGCATCTCTTATAACAGCACCCTTCCTCACAGATCTGCATTTATTCACTTGGACTGCCTTAACAAAATACCACAGATGGAAAGACTTAAACAAAATAAAGTTGTTTTCTCACAGTTCTGGAAGCTGCAAGTCTAAGATTAAGGTGCCATCAGGGTGGGTTTCTGGTGAGACCTCTGTACGTGGCTTTCAGATAGCTACCTTCTCTCTATGTCCTCTCGTGGTCTTTTTCCTGTGCTCAGGTGGAGAGAAAGGAGCGGGGAGGGGGGGTTGGTATCTACAGGGAACCGATCCGCATGGCAGTGGTGAACGTAGCCCAGCCACTGATTCAGAAAACCGGCAGGAGCGAGTCAGCACACAGGAACCAGGCCCACAGATCGGTTTTCCCCTGGGGAATCAGTCCTGCATTGTACATAGGCTGCTCTGAGGCTTGCTTTTTGCTAAAACTCCCCCACTCTGAACTGAGGCAGCAAATGTTTACTGCATATCTTTAAAGTAACTTCCTAAGGTCTGTGCCAAACCTCCCAAGGATGGAGTGTAACCAGTTCAACCCCTTTCCCCTTGCATTTTCAAACATCCTTTCCTTTGTACTAATTAGCAACATCCTCTCCTTTGTTATCTGTAAAAGGTAATCACCTAAAGCGAACCTGTGCATAGTAAATGAGGACCATCCTCAATGTAATGTATCCAGAAAAGCAATAAAAGCCCATCCAGGCAAGGGTCAAGGCTCACTCAGAGAGTGACCATGCTGTCCCTTTTTCTCCACAGGACTTCTGCAGTCTGTGTGAATGTGTTCATTGCAGTGACAACACACAGATCCCACTGGTCAAAGTCCACATCAAGTATCTCTTCCTCTTCTTATAAGGCACAAGTCCAATCAGATTAGGGAACCAGTCTTATGAACTCATTTAACCTTACCTCCTTAAAAGCTTTGTCTCAAAATACAGTCACATTGAGGATAAGGGCTTCAAATATGAATTCAGGGGGCAGGGAACACACTCCAATCCAAAACAGAGCTCTCAGATACAATCAGCAAAAACAAGAGTCATAAAAAGAAAATTTCATCAACTGTACATCAAAAAATTAAAAATGTTTGTGCTTCAAACAATACCAATGATAAAACAAAGCAAGACACAAATTGGCAAGACAGTAAATAACTGAAAATAATATATCAGATAAAGAATTTGTATCTAGAATATATAAGCAATTCTTAGAATTCAGAAATAAAGAGGAAAACAACTCAATTTAAAAGTGGGGAAAAAATTGAATGAACATTTTACCCAAGAAGATATATAAAAGGCTAAGAGGCTCATGAAAGATGCACAACACCATTTTTCATTAGGGTGAGTCCGACTGGAGCCACAAGGAAATACATGACGTACCAACTAGAATAACTTTAACCAGAAATGACAGAGACATCGTCAAGTGCTGACAAGTAAAAACAAAACAAAGCACAACCGAACCCTCACATGAGGTTGATGGGAAATGTAAATCGCTCAGCCGCTATGAAAAACAGTTTGGCAGTTTCTTGAAATGTCAAGTATAAACTTAACATATGATATAGCACTTTCACTCCCAAGAATCTACCCAAGGAAAAGAAAAATATACATCCACACACAAATGTTCATAACAGAATTATTCATAATAGCCAAAATCTGAAAACAATCCAATGTCTATCAATGTCTGCTAAGAGATAAAAATTAATGAACTATTGATAAGTGCTACAAAGTGGAAAAACCTAAGTGAAGGAAGCCCAATATATACATATGTCTCCGTTCATGTGAAATGTCCAGAAAAGCCAAAATCGTACAAACAAAAAACAAACCAGCAGTGCCAAGGGCTGAGAATGGAAGCAGAGCAACACTGCGGGGAGGCACGAAGGAACTTCTTAAGACAACAGAAATGTTCTAAAACGGGATTGTGGTAATATTTACCTAATTCTTTGTGTACAAAGAATCATTGAATTGTACACATTCACAATGGTGAATTCTGTGGTGAGCAAACTATACCTTAATAAAAGTGTTAAAAATAAAGTGTTATCAAAATACTGACCACTTATAAGTAAGGCTTGATTTATTTTTTTATCTCCTAAGACACTATGTACATTTTTTATATCCTAAGACACTTAGCATATAGCTGTGCACACAAGCCGAGAGAAATATTTGTTAAATAAATTGATGAATAAGATAACGTCTCTCCCTTTCCAACAAAAATAATAGAATAAAGGGCTTCTCTCTGAGAATTGGTAGATGCTCAGATAAAGAGCAAGGAAAGAGGCTTTATTTAAAAAAAGATTCTCCTTAATATTTTTGGAGAAAATTATTCTCTTTGTATGAACCATCTAGATATCACTCAGATAAGACCCTAATTCTTCTACATTATTTTCTGTATTTGAACTTTTAATAGTTTCACCATGAGGAAATGACAAACATCAAACAAAATAGAACATTCTAAGGTACATATTTGCTTTTGCCATCAAAACTTTAAATTCCTTATTAGAAGTAATAGTGGGAATTTATGTTCATACTATAATAGGATTGATATATTTCATTGCTATATGATAAGAAATTTCATATAATAATATTGATTGTAAAAATATATCTTACATTTTCTAGTTCTGAATTATCACTTGTATTTGTTTGGATTTTCTCTGGAAATATAATCTGGACAGATGAATTTTGAGAACCTGAGAAAATAAAATACAGTTAATAATTGTGTCTTAAACCTGACAAAATATTTGTTCAGGGTCTTTCATAAGATTCACTTATGCAAATATGAATTATCACTGTATACTCCTATAAAAATCTTTGAAACAATTTAAAAACAGACACAATAGTTATAATACACCATAAAAAACACAGGGGGAAGTATCAACTTACACAAAATTTGTTGTTCCTTAACAAGACAGAATAGACCAAAAATAGTCAGAAATAAACCTCAAGAAAATTTTCCTGAATTAAAAAATTTGAAATAATAGGCTGGGGAGTACACTGTATTGTAGTAAAATCCAATAACAATTCATTAAAACTGAGATTATTCTACTTAAATTATTGGCTATCTAAAACAAAGAAATAATCCTATGGGCATGTTAGCAAAAAGGAAAAAGAAAAAGAAAATCATACTGGGGACAGGGAGAAAAGCAGGCTGGCTTGTGAATTTTTTAAAACATTATTCAATCTTAAAAAGCGGAATAACAATGCCTTTTTAAAATCTTCATGAAAAAAGTATGGAACCAGGAATATTTTCCCCAGAAAAACTGTTATTGAAACATGGAGACAAAAGACAAGGGTCTACAAGCAAAAACTTAAGTAATACAGCTCACACGTGCTGTCGTGAAAGGTAGATGAACTTCTCCCAATAAAGACAAAAACACAGGTGAGGAAAAAGGCCTACTAGTAGTGAGCATTAAATAAACTTAAATATAGAATAAAGGTTAAAGCAACTATGGAAATTGTAGTTATTCAATTAAATGCAAATGTTATAAATTATGATTACATAGGCAGAATAATATATAAAATAATGTCACAAAGTATAGCAGAAGAAGAGAGATACCATATGTGCATACTGATTTCCTCAAATTTATTGCACTGTGGGCAAAAAAATCTGACTTAAAGCTGAAAATGGAGTGGGAGAAGTAGAAACCTATTGTTTAATGATATAAAGGCACAGAAGAATTAAAACCACAGTCCTGTAATAAAGGAGAGAGCAGGAGGTAGGAGAAAGTAGTAAAATACTAAATTTCCTAATCACAGTGAGGAAATCACTAGTTACTACTACCTAAATAAAGGATTAAATCTATTATATAAAATAGATTATAAATATTCCAAATTAAGGGACAAGAGCATACACAAGGCACCCAAAAAATAAGTTGTCACAGATTTTTATGGCAAAAGATGTTTTACCAAAACAGGAGCATGGGATCAATAAAGTATGACATAAATAAGAAGCACAGAGATTAAAAATCTGTCTTATCAATAAATGTAAGTAGGATGAACTGATCAATTAGAAGAAAAGTCCTCAGATTGGAACCACAAAATGAAAACCCAATTACTAAGCCTTCTGTGGAATAATGAATACTGGATCTAAGCTAATAGTAATTTTTGAGGACCTAAAAAATGCATGCTTACCAGAAAGAGTCAGATGATTAAAGCTCAAATCTACGAGTGTTCTCACAGGCCTACAAGTTAACCCTAACACAATTTGCCCAGTTACGGAGCCATCTGTGGAACTAGAAATAATCAGTGACTTGTTCAACCCCCATCTAGCCTACCTAACCCACAGGGTGAGAATTATTATGGTAGGAAGGGCCAGAGAGAAAACTCTGAATATCATTTTCACCCTCACCAAAAAATTAAACCAAAAGTCTTTCTGAATCCAGAAAAGTACTCCCACTATGGAATCTAATGAATAAAAGAACTAAAATCCCTATTATATTCCCATTTTATTTGTTTGCTCTGAGCAAATGAGATAATAGAGAATAGTTGTTTTAAGTTTAATCAGGTGATGATTGAAATAACTAATATTGTTCAAAATATGGTCTCCTTAGGGAAGCAAATCGACTGTGGCATTGGCACCTGTATGCAACCCCACGGGTAGGAAAAGGTGGTTTACTCTATCCCAATAAGCAGAGAATTGCCGCCACAAGTTTGCATTATCACTTGGTTGGCAGTGACGGCATTACACCTTTGCTATCCATATTGCCTCAGGTGTTTACCATCTCTAGTTCTGTTCCTACTGAGACTCTACACATATCACACTCTGCGGTGGACAGAATAACCCTCCCAAAGATGTCCTTGTCCTAATCCCAAGAACCCATGAATATGTTACAGTACTTGGCAAATTGTAATTGAGAATTAATGTTGCTTATCAGCTGAACTTAAAATACAGAGACTATCCTGGATTAGTTGTGGTCATGATTTAATCACAAGGAACCTTAAAAGTGGAAGAGGGTTTACAGGAACAAGTATAAAGGACACATGGATAGAAAACTAGGGGCAGGTGGAAATGGGAGGGAGGAGGGGAGGGATAGGTGAGTGGGCTGGGATGGGAGTAAAAGACAGAAAATTGTACTTCAACATCAATTAAAATAAAATTTTTTTAAAAAGTGGGAGAGGAGAAACAGAAGAGAGAACCAGAGAGATGGCAGTGTGAAAAGAACTCAGCCCAATGCTCTTGGCTTTAAAGATGGAGGAAGGGAACACAAGCCAAGGAATGCAAACAGCCATTAGAATTTGGAAAGAGCAAAGAAACAGATTGTCTACCACAGCCTCTGGAAGGAAGAGAGCAAGGCCAACCCCTTGATTTTAGCCCAATGAGACCCATTTTTATAGAACTGTAAGATAATAAATTTGTTATAGCAACAACAGGAAATTAATATAACATCTAAGAGGAAGTCATTCTGGAATCTACATTCATAATATCATGCCTGCAAGACCTGAACTAACAAGTGTATGAGATGCCTTGGCAAGAAGCAGGAGTGCCAAAGTCTTGATTAAATACTCCATGCACAAGAAAAATCCACCTGTAATAGCCTAGTAGACTAGAGACACTAGAAAATAACCTCTATAGTAAATAGCAAGAGGCATTTGGATTTTGGAGGCAACATACATAACATATGGCTGTGTTGCTTTGACCATTTTACTGAAAAATCATAGGCTGCCAGCTTTGTGAGATGCCCAAGTAAAAGAAAACTCCTCAGCTAACCGAGGCTTCTGTGCAAGCAGCTCTCACGTTTCTCATTTAAGGCCAGGAGAAACCACAGTGCACTAGGGATCTGTGGCAGATGTAAGTTAAGCCCCACTAGGAGAATGTCAGTAAAGGCCCCTGAGGTTCTGAAGCAAAGACATGTCCTCATTGGCATATACAGTGGTTTGAATCATGATTCCCCGCACCCCAGCAAAAGATATATCCACTCAGAACCCGTGGACGCAACCTTGTTTGGAAAAAAGAATCTGAGCCCTGGCTGGTGTAGCTCAGTGGATTGAGTGCGGGCTGCGAACCAAAGTGTCGCAGGTTCAATTCCCAGTCAGGGTACATGCCTGGGTTGCAGGCCATGACCCCCAGGAACCCCATATTGATGTTTCTCTCTCTCTCTCTTTCTCCCTCCCTTCCTTCTCTAAAAAAATAAATAAAGTAAAATCTTTTTTAAAAAAAGAATCTTTGAAAGGTGTTACTAGCTAAGGATTTGAGGTGAGACCATTCCAGATTAGGGTGGACCCTAAATCCAATGACATGCGTCCTCTAAGTAAGAGAAGGGGAGAAGAACAGAGGAGACTGCCATATGCAGACAGACGCACATACTAGACTGGTATGTCTTCAAGAAATACTGAGAATTTCTGGCAGTCCTCAGAATCTAGGAAAGAGGAATAAGAGATTATTTGTCCTAGTTTTCAAAAGAAATCAGTATCTTGATTCTGTATTGCTGGCCTCCAGAACTGCACAGGAATAATGTCTATAGTTAGTGGTATACTTTTTCATGGCAGCGACAAAATATTAATATAATTTTATAGCTATATTTATTTTATGCAAGTTTCTAGCTCACAGCTGGGCTGTGACAGAGGCAAAATTCAGACTGTGTGATGCTACGGGATCTTGCAAACTGAACTCAAAGATTGACATAATCAGGCACTACTGGCTTCTAAGGTCACTGTGCATCAGAAAAGACGGAAGAGGGACACGTACACTTAATTGCCTTGATCCAAAATTGATGCATCTCTTCTTCTCAACCCCATAAGCAAGTGCTAATTGACCCAACTTAGTGGAAAAAGGCCAAGTAATGTAGGCAAAAACATAGAGACTAAGTGAGCACTAAGGGCTTTGTCACATAAAATGGGGAAGTATGTTTACAACAAATGTTAATCAAAGAGGAGTTGATGTAGTAATGTTAACATTAGCACAGATAGAATTTAACAGCTGAAAGTATTAGTAGGAATAAATAATGGCAGGCCACAGTTAATAAAAAGAAATCAAAGTGAATTTTAAAAAGTTGAAACTCTACCTTACACCATATACAAAAATTAACTCAAAATAGATTAGTGAATACTGTTCCAAGTTGGTACTGCTGAGCTGCACCTGGCCTCCTGCAGCTATCCCAGCTGTCCACCTGCTGGGCTCTGGAATGCCCATGGACCTCAGTGGTCCAGGCCCTTGAGGCTGCAGGAAGTAAACAAGAGACCATAGCACCTGCTGCAGGTCAAATATGCTTGGGCAGAGGTTGATGAGTCAGGCAAAGTGCTGATACCTACCCAGATTAAAAACCAGCCCACTAGTATTGCATGGAATGGCCTTGATCCAGGTAAACCCTTACACCTTGGTCTTGACAGACACAGATGCTCCCAGCAGGACCCCAAATATAGAAAATGGCACCATTTTCTGGTAGTCTGATTACATGGGCTCTGGGCCTCCCAAGGTCACATGCCTTCACCTCTATGTCTGGATGGTTTATGAGTAGGACAGGCTGGTGAAGTGTGAAGAACTCATTCTCAGCAACAAATCTGGAGACCACCATGGAAAATTCAAAGCGTTATCATTCCGCAAAAAGTAGGAGCTTGGGTCGCTGGTGGCTGGCACATGTTACGCGGCAGAATTGGGTGACTGCCCAAGGTCTATGAGGAGTCTGGGAGGTAGAGGAAAGCCAGGAGACAGAAATCACCCTGGGAGCCCCAAACAGAGTTCTCAAGCTCAGTGATACGCATAGATTTCTCCTCTTCCCTGTTCCCTTTCTCACAGGAAAGGCCTAAACAGATAGGGATTTAGGGTGACTTCCTTCTATCTATCCTTTACATTATACAGGGTCACACACCCTGTTTTGTGTTTGGATAAAATTTTTAACTCCACTTTGGGGAATATTTTGGTACTATGATGGGGTCATCAGTTGTTAATATAATAATAGAAACCCATAACTTAAAGAGGAAAAAGTTGGGTTAAGAAGAACAGGTCTATAATAATAGAGCAAAGCATCAAAAAAAATGTTTAAGGAAGGCTAAAAGGAAAAAAAAAACACAATTCACTGCATCTGCCTTTGTGAGCACAAGTCCAGAATTGCGCGTGGCGGTGCCTTCTGACATCTGTTTTCACAGCCTTGTCTTCACCAGACAACAAGGAGCTGGCATGTCCACTAACCCCCAATATGGTACATCTTCCTAGGTGTCAGTATCCCACTCTGGCTCCTTTTATTTTTAACCCTCACCCAAAGAAACGCTTATTGATTTTTTTTTAGAGAGAGAGGGGAAGAGAAGGAGAAAAAGAGAAAGAGAAACATGATAGGAGAGAGAAGTATCAATCACTTGCCTCTTGTAATTGCCCCAGCTGGGATGGAACCCGAAACCTAGGCATATGCCCTGACCAGAAATCAAACCTGTGAACTTTCTCGTTGATTTAACATAATGAGAACAGTTTGCACAACACTGATATAACCTGGCAGCCAAGGAGAGTGGACTGAAATGAGCATGCATGACCAATAACGACTTCACTGTACTAGTCAAAGGGAGCAGTGGACGCCATTGAGTGAGCATGTGTACTGTATGGCCGTCACATTCAAAATAACTGAGAGAAAAATAACTGAGTAAGTAGACCAATGAATCTGCATCAAATTTTGAATTAAGCTCTGTGGAAACTATTTGGATGATTCAGAAGGCCACAGCTATGGGAAAATGGTGATTGGCAGCTTCATCACAACAAGCCCACTCATGCATCACATCTCATGCAGAGTTTTTAGTGAAACATCAAATTACCCAAGTGACTCAGCCCCCCTACAGCCCAGATTTGGTAGCCTGTAACTTCTGGCTTTTCCCAAAACTAAAATCACCTTTGAAAGGGAAGAGATTTCAGACCATTGCTGAGATTCAGGGAAAATGCAATAGAACAGCTGATAACCACTGGGAGAACTGTGTGAGGTCCCAGCGTGCCTACTTTGAAAGGGACTGTGGTATCATTGTCCTGTGTATAATGTTTCCTGTATCTTGTATCTTCTTCAATAAGTGTTTCTATTTTTCATATTACATGGCTGGATACCTTCTGGACAGACCTCGTATATTGTCTTAGTGCCAGGGATTAATTGAGGCTTTAAAGGAAAGCAGCCAACTAGTCCAGCAGTGTCTTCAGAGCACACTCCCAGGAGATGAAGACCTGCTCCACAACTGACATCCCGGAGATTTTGTCCATTGGAACAGACATCTCCATAAGGATGCTCTACAACCCAGGGGGAGGGGCCTTACCAGCTGAATTTAGAGGCATAGATTCCTGGACTCACGTTTCTCATTTGAAGAAAGCTCCAACACCTACATGGCAATCTGCCCCTGTTGGAGACCTAAAGCTCAACATTTCCAAGGAGCAGAAGCAGCAGACACCATCTGAACAGACAGCTTTCCTAAGCCTCTGAACCAGGCCGATACAACCTCATGCTTTTTCCTCTGCACAATTTGTCAGAAGAACTCTTTTATCCACTTTTCTATGTGCTGAAAGTGCCTGACAATATGTAACTCATAGTGGTAAGACCTTGTAATTCAGAAAAACTATTCTTATATTCTTACATGCTATTCTTATAACCTCCAGCTCATCAACTTTTATTTCACTTAGAACTCATGTGTTAGCTAATATACCAGCCACCTTTCTTGAGTTCTTACAATGGCTACTGTTAATAGTTTAAGCTCTTGATTTGGCCTCTTTTTTGTAACCTACATGCTAAGAATTACACTTTATTACACCCTTTTGTTCCTACCCTACAGAAGCTTTCTGAATCTGAAAATCTCACAGGCGTTTGGATCTGTGCTACAGCAAAGCATGCTCTTGAGGTTCCTGAGCTGGTGACCTGATCTCTATCCCTAAAGTGATGAAAAAACTGGACTGGTAGGGTTCTGTTTTTGCTTCTATGAAACACATATTGCCTTCCCTCTGGAAGACATGCCCCAGAAATAACTACCTTCCATTGGGACCTCCTTGCTCATAAAGGTATATAACCCTCACTCAGATTTAGACATTGACTAGTTACCTTTCCTTATGTTTTGAAAATATGAATGGTCCTGGTGTGTAAAAACATGAAGTTAACTTCCATTGGATGCCTATAACTATATGCTCTTATATGATTCAAAAGTGAGTTCATGCACAGAATGAAGAAACAAGAATGCAAAAAAATGAGGAGAGGGTTAGAAACCTCTGGGACAAGTTTAAATGTACCAACATTTGAATCATAGGGGTGCCAGAAGGAGAAGAGTAAGAGTAAGATATTGAAAACTTATTTGAAAAAATAATGAAGGAAAACTTCCCCCAATCTGGTGAAGGAAATAGACTTTCAGGAAGTCCAGGAAGCCCAGAGAGTCCCAAAGAAATTGGACCCAATGAGGAACACACCAAGGCACATCATCATTAAGTTACCCAAGATTAAAAATAAGGAGACAATCTTAAAAGCAGCAAGAGGAAAGGAGAGAGTTACCTACAAAGGAGTTCCCATAAGGTTATTAGCTGATTTCTCAAAAGAAACCTTACAGGCAGGGTACTCCAAGTCATGACAGGCAAGGACGTACATCCAAGATTACTCTATTCCAGCAAAACTATCATTTAGAATGGAAGGGCAGATAAAGTGTTTCCCAGACAAGGTCAAGTTAAAGGAGTTCATCATCACCAGGCCATTATTATATGAAATGTTAAAGGGACTTATCTAAGAAATAGAAGATCAAAAATTATAAATAGTAAAATGACAACAAACTCACAACTATCAACCACTGAAACTAAAAAACTAAAGCTAAGCCAACAGCTAGAACAGGAACAAAATCACAGAAATGGAGATCACATGGACCGTTAACAACAGGGATGGTGAGGGGGAGGAGAATGGGAATGAGGTACAGAAAATAAGAAGCATAATTGATAGGTACAAAATAGACAGGAGGAGGTCAAGAATAGTATAGGAAATGGAGAAGCCAAAGAGCTTAAATGTACAACCCATGGACATGAACTAAGGTGGGGCTGGGGAGAAATACTGGAGAGGGGGGTGCAGGGAGGAGGAGAGAAAGGGGAGAAAACAATTGGGACAACTGTAATAGCATAATCAATAAAATATACTTTTTTAAAAAGTTCATGCAGTGTTCCAGTCTGCATGACTACAATGTAACCTCTCATAACAGGTCCCTACGGAAGGGCAACGAGATCTGTAATGGAACTGGACATTGGGAAGATGTGCCTCCCCTGAATGAAACAACGTTGGGAATGGTGGAAACTAAATGCTACCTGCCTTTTTCCTGGAAGTTCCCCACTTTTGAACCAAAATCTGACTCACAATAATCAAACTCATTTGTTGCTTCAAATATTATCTTGTATTGCAGGACAAATTAACACTGTATGCAAGACAAGTGTTGAAACCAATGAGGAAAGAGCTCAGAAAAGTCAGTTTTTTGGAGTTTGAGTGGAGTTCGAGAAGTTTCTTGGGTGCTTTGGAGTGCCAGAAACTTTGAGGCAGTTTGATGACGTGCATGACAGGCCTGCAAGAAAGGCCAAACCCAAATTCAGAGAGGAAGGGAATTGTCCTTGAGCTTACTGATATCTTCTCTCCCGCGTCACTTCTAAGGCCAGACGTCCAAACACAGCCTAGCTTCCAGGGTGACGGGGCAAACAAAACCAAAAAGCAGGTAAGGAACCCCCGCCGGTTTTTAATAGGGGTAGGCCCCCAGTCTGACTTGGACGGAAGCTGGTGTGCGTTGAGAGAAAACCCTTCCTCCGCCCCAGACCAGAATAACAGGGTCTCCGTTGGCTTACCGAGTCTGGACGCGAGCGATCCACAGAGACCAGCAAAGAGCATCATTAGGCGGAACATGCTGGTGTCCTCGGCTCCAGGCGAATACTGAGCGTGCAGCCGTTAGTTGGCTCGGAAAGCGCCGCACCCGACCGCGGGGTGGGGGCGGGGCGGATCCCCAAGGCCTCCTCCCGCACCCTCCGGAGCCACGTTCTCGCCGGGCCGTGGCAGTTGGAGGTTTGCACCCCGCAGGTGTGCCGTCCTATAATCAGCCCACGCCCAGGGTCAATCTCGCTCCCTTCCCCGAGGGCCGCTCTACCGGGTAGCCTGTCACTCCTCTAAAGTTACCCATCCCAGCCACTCCCTCCCAACTGTCCTCCTGCAAATCTGTCTCTTGCTGTCGATTCACGGGCCTGGAAGAGCTAACACGTTCATTATGCGTTTTGTATCAGACACACCCAGGTGCTTGAAAAGACGGACGTTAATACTTTCTGAAATCAAAACTATACACAAAACAGATTGGATAAAGATATGGCACACATACAATGACTACTCAGCCATAAGAAAAATCGAGTATTGCCATTTGTGACATGGATGGATCTTGAGAATATCATAGTAAGCGAAATATCAGAAAAAGTTAACCATACGACTTCACTATGTGAGATATAAAACTGAAAGCAACAAATGAACAAACAAGAAAAACAAAAACTCCTAGACACAGACAACAGTATGACGGTTATCAGAGGGAAGAGAGCGGAAGGATAGTAAGGGATAAGGGGGTCAATGTATGATAATGGAAGATTTGACTTCAGGTGGTGGGCACCCAATGCAATATAGATGATGCATAATTGAATACAGTCAAAACCTATATAATCGTATTAACCATTGTCACTCCAATAAATTTAATTTTTTTTAATTAAATGGAAATAAAAATATGTGAACACACACACAAATATACATAGATTTACTAAAGCTAGGTTTCTTTCTTTTTTAAAACATTTTATTTATTTTATTTTTAGAGAGGGAAGGGAAGTGGGGGGAGAGAGAAAGACATCAATGTGCGGTTGCTGGGGGCCATGGCCTGCAACCCAGGCATGTGCCCTGACTGGGAATCGAACCTGCGATGCCTGGTTCACAGCCCACCCTCAATCCACTGAGCTATGCCAACCAGGTAAAGCTAGGTTTCTAAAAGAACAAAAACTAGCTGGATGGTTTCTTAACTAGATTCCAAGAATGGAGACAGTGAGTAGATTTCGATATCTTTGAAGAGAGCCTGCTGTGGTTGGTTTGTTTTTCCCTCCCTATCCAAACACACTTTCTACCCAGACTCTACCTACCATTTCCTCTAATCAATCTGGTTCTCCACAGGGCCTTGGCTAAAATTCACACTGGTGATTCTCTTGTTCAGTAACTTCTCAGTACAATGAACATTCATTCGTGCAGTGAATGAGATGGACAAGATTCTTGTCCAGTTACAGTAGGTCCCAGTAGAAAATTCTACTTAAAACAGTGTTCAACATTTTCTACATTCCAACCCAGGCTGCCACCTCTTTTCTCCCACCCGCAGTGCTTCGGCCACCTTGACCTCTGGTCTTTCCTGAATGAACAAAGCCTAATTATTCCCTTAGACTGCAATGCCTCCTCCCTCTCAGCCTCACCCCAGTCTCCACCTATATGCACTATCTTTTAATTCTTTTCAAATCCCAAAGAAGGAATTCTCATACTACTTAATGGAAAAGTAGACACACAAAATAAAAGGCAGGGTGAAGGGAGCGGGGTTACGAAAAAAGCTCACTTAGGGAATCACCACAAGTACTCTGACATTTCAGATGCAATTTTATGGATGCATAGGGTTTAAACAGAGCAATCTAAACCCAAAAAGAAGAGCATGAGCTAAAGTAAGGCAACAAAAACACACATCTAGTTTGTATCTCAACAGGAACAGCCAATGCTACACTAACAGTTTTTAGAGCTGCTGAGGCAAAAATCTGGTCTCATTTCCTAGCATTAGAATTCTAGTAAATGCTTTGACTTGCCAATTTTGAGTATATTTCTAGTTATTTCTTTGGTTTTTCCCCTCTCCTCAACCTTCAATAAATCTTTAATAGAGCAGATTTTATATTAATCTTAGTGTATATGGCTCTCTCCATTACAGGAGGCAATTCCATCCAGAACTTACATATCACACTGCCTAATATAGAACCTGCAAGATGGCAGAATTTCAATAAATATTTCTGAAACTTAATAAAATCTGATTTGTGCTTGGAAAACCTGCATTGTGCTTTACTCTATTGTTAGAGACCTAGACATTTGCTTGATAGGAAGGGAAAATGCAATACCCTAACAAGGTAAGTTTGTGAACATACAGTCAGTTATACCCAAGTTAGGTGTAATTTATCCTCAATTATTAAGATATCTTCAGCAGATGGCAAGGAAGCCCTTTAATATTTTCAAAGTTAGAAGTGGGCTCTATGACCATAAAATTTAACAACTTTTACTAGCAATTCAAAGACAAACCAAAGTCAAAAGCATATAAATTTGTGAATATATATGAAAGTAAAAGAATTTCAACTGATTAAATAGTCATTTAGAAAAACTTTCTAAATATTTAAAGATTCAAGGAATTCATTCCAAGAAAAGTTTTAAATTACATACTTATTACCAACTGTAAAATTCCAGTGATATGAATTACAATTGTAGTCAAATGAATGAAAGACAAATATTTTAGTTTTATATGAATTCATTCAGGGATTTAAATTGAAATGAAGATTCTTCATTTGGAATTATTTATAACGTTTAATGTATATCTGGTTGTTAAAACAATGTACCATCTTCAGAGAACTGAAATATCTTTTTCAAAACTAATGTTTTCCTTTAATAACAAAAAGCCATTGTGCACAGTTTGACAGAAGAGTAAAAAAATTAGTGAAATATCTGTAAAAGTTTGACTGGTATAGTAGTTTTGTCCAATATAATGGTTTTTTTGTAAGATTTTATTTATTTTTAGAGAGAGGGGAAGGGGGTAAGAAAGAGAGGGAGAGAAACATCAATGTGTGGTTGCCTCTCTCCTGCTACCAACTGAGACCTGGCCCACAATCCAGGCATGTGCCCTGACTGGGAATCGAACCAGCAACCCTTTGGTTCACAGGGGAGCACTCAATCCACTGAGCCACACCAGCCAGAGCATAATGTTTTAATTAATACAGTTATAAATAACTAAGTAGGAAGTACTAGGCAATGCAAAACAGAATTTCAAGTATTTTATTTATTGTAAATGTTATATTTGCATATGTATATATACACAAACCAAAATTTTTGGAAAAACTAATCAAATTCAGTTAATAAACCTATTATTAAACTTTATTATGAAAGGTTATGTAAAATATTTAAGTGCTTAAAATTTTACTATTGATACCATTGCTTCCATAGTAAAATTCTTTTTTAACACAGTTGCGATGATACCTCACAGACACCACATAACTTTTTTGCACTTATCTAAGAAAATCTTTGCGTCCTTCCTCTCTCCAACCTAATTTCTTTGAAAAAGTGTCAATAGAAGACATGTTCCAGCACACCTTAGTAAATGTAAACATTCTAAATTATATTAATAGCAAGCTTTGAAGTTTCAGATTTTAAACTTAGTTAAAGTGCTCATGAAATTCTCAAGTGGTTTTATAACAGCTCCACTGATTGAAAATACAATTGCTCCTGCTTTGTTACAGCCATGAATCAACAGCATATCTGATTAGTTCTATTAAATATGTCGTACCTTAAAGTTTATATTTTATTAAAATAATGCTATTGTAAAAGGATGTCATGTTTTAACATGATTCACAATAGAATTCTATTATTAAATTAACCTTTCTAATATTCATTATCCATAGATAGATCCATAGAATCTATTATCCATAGAATCCATAGAATCATTTATCCATAGAACCATCATAAAAATAAAAGATAATAACTGTGTGTGAATACACACATATACACTTGTAGTGTATTTTGTACTTAAAAAGTAATATAACATCTTAAATGTGGGTTTTGTGCATTCTTCTGAAGACAGAACAAACGTCTATTCAAGATCCTAGCATATGATGATTATTAGTCTGTGCAAGACGAAAAATATTAGATATTATTGGCAGTTAATGAGTCAGTTTTCACAGGTATTAGATTATCACATGTTCAACCTGAAACTACATTAAGGATAACTAAGGTCAAAATTCATAGTTACATTTAAGCACACAATAACAAATCTTAAACCAATACAGTTAATTTGAGAATCATTACAGTAACATGTTCAAAATAACAATCCATGTTAGGTGCATTAACTTCACAGATGACTGAATAAGACTTATTCAGTGATGGAAATGAAAATTATTCTAAATTCCCTGATTTCATTGAATTTCTTATATTTCTCAATTCCCACTTTCCATTTTCTGTTTTTCTGTGTTAGTAAAGTTTGTTTTGCGGTGTTTTGCTTCCATTCATAGTTGCAGCAGGAAGAAAGGATTTTCAAGAAAATATCAAGAAAAAAAAAGTATTATCTTAGTTCCCTGAAGATGTCTGCAGGAGGAAAGGGAAAACAATCAAGTGAGGGAATTATATAAAGGAGGTGCAGGAGCAGGACGAGCAGGAATTAAATTTCCCTGAGATGATACTTTCGGTTGTGGTGGAGGGGGCCTGTGAGAAGGAAAAACACAGTTAATCATGTGTTTCAGCTGAATGGAACAATGCTACATTCACTGCAAACCCACCGTCCTGAACATCGCTCACCATTCTTAAGCATACGTTATATTCTGAGATTATTACTACCCTGATGTGCAGTGGTTAAAGAGAGTCTAAAGTGGAGTGCCGGCACTACATTAATGCTATTCCATAATCTGCAATGTTGTGTGAAGGCTCTGGACACTATGTGCATTAAGGGCAGTGAATTACTGTAAGTACAAACCTTACAAATATACACAGAGGTAAAATTCCAGGTCTCTCACACATAATATCCACTCTCAGAGTTAAACTGACTATGACTTCTATACCTGTCCTTCTCAATCCTGATGCTTCAACCTCCAGAAGTCCTTTCCTTA